CAAAACGATCTATGCATGTATACCCAAGCGAGGGGTAAACCTTGGTTCCAAGGGACTCGCTATCCGGTCTGGTTTGATTAATCGAGCTAGACCAGTGAGTTCCAGCCTTTAAGGAATATATGTGGATTTCAGGGTTCTATTGATAAATGAATTGATAGCAGAGTGTTTAGGAAGTCTGCCTTTTGAGAAACGACAGTCGAGGGGGTAGTGACGCAACCCGCAGGGGCTCGTCACCTGATAAATTTGAATAGCCCCTTGAAACAAAAATTTTGCTCCTTAATATCCCCTTTGACTAGAAATAATTTTTTTTAATTGGCCTGAACGATTTCTATAATTTATTATTGATTTTTAAATTTAATTATCATGTCTCTTTCTAAAATTATTTTCAGTTCCAAATCCAAATAAGTATTATATATAATTATTTATAAAATGTTAGGTAAAATGCCACTTTTACAGACGTATTTGACAGTTATATAATATATTACAGTAAATATTTTATCTTACTAATAAATGTTTTTGATAAAAAATACAAGTTACAATTTGCATTTAATTAACTCCATCTATTTATTAAAATATTATTAAAATTAAACATTTATTATTCATCCCACAATGATGTGATAAATTAGATATCATTTCTTCTCTTTTCTACGTGTTTTAAGGAAAACTTTTTAAGACATATTATACCAATAGAGGTGGTGCGATAATAAAATTTGCTTTCATCATATCACTCTGGTTCTTATTTTATAGTTACAAAATGTTTCATTTCTAATATGGCATCCTTGTCATAATAATTTCTTCTAAAGATTTTTAGTGTTTTTGTTTTATCAATTTATTTAACCTAATAAATTCTGATATGGGTTACCATCTTGAGTGTCATTATGACTGCAAATTAAACAGCATCTATTATTTGTGTGGCTATGTAATTTAAGATTATTACTACAGCTGCTGAGAGCATAAGACTGCATAAGATATTTTTGTCAAATGTGTAGTCATTTGTATATCATTAAAAATGGAAGATAATCTTTTAGAAATATAATATCTCACAATAATTTTCTCTATTACTTATCTAGCTTCCATCATTTCATCTAAGAGGAGGCTCTAATCACCATATAGTTTTATGATTTGGATTGGTCGTTTATATTCTTTTCTTCAGTTAATTTGGTAAGGCCTATAAATTTTTTTATTAGTCCATTCTATAAAACAATGTTTAAAATGGTAAAATATTAGTTTCATAACCTTTTTTAATTTGATAAGAATTATATAGCCTTATGTGGTTTTTCTATTATCACTTGTATGAATTATTTAACCTTTTTTTTTATTTATTTGCTAGTTTAATTTGTATGCAAAATATAATATGTTTAAAGTTAGCAAATTTTAAAAAAATATGAGCCCCCTGAAATTGTAAAGGCTAGCGACGCCCCTGGTAGGGTATAGTGTCCAAGACAATCAATGTGAGTTTTACATAGGACACATGATGTAGGCGTTACGATTTCACAGCCTAAGCGAAGACCAATATATTCTGAGTTACTCGTTGGTAAGTAGCAAGTCTAGATTAGAGCTAAGTATAGTTTCATAACATTCATATCTAAGGTGGCATGTGGATGGGGCTGGATTTATTTGATTTAGCGAAAAGTCGTAATGTAGTCATTAGGAGATGAAAAATTTCTTATCAACTTTGAATTGTATATTCGACGCGATCTGTATCAATGTCATATTCCAGTCTTTTTGTCTTATAGAATTGATATGGGCAGTTTGGAGCATTTTTGCTCCAGAGGTCTAGTGCTACCGTATGATGTGGGTCGATAGAATATAAGTCTCCAAGTGTAAATCGAAATTTAGCAACAAAGGATAGAAAGGTTGAAATGCTCGGATATGGGGATTGGATACTTATACCTCCTAGTTGGTGAAAGTTCAGCTTGCATCCAGGAAAGTGATGAGAATTTTATGTTCAAAATAGATTCAAGAGTATTTTTTATATGGACTTCGAGATTTTAAGATAAATCTCAATTGTCTAAGGTTAAGATTTTTATCAAAATAATATTATGTAGCCTGAAGATTTTTCATAGATGGCAGATAAATCTGTACTTTATTTACCAAATCTCGATGCTTACATAACACCTTTAGATAAAATCTTAACCAGGTCATTATTAAAATCGGTTCAAATCTGGCTTTTTAACAACATTACAAATATCATTTACCTTGATTGTAGGATTCTAGTTCTAATAAATCAGATAGAACAAAATATATATAATGTTAAAAATAATCATTATTATCATTTAGTACCTTTAATTTTAACAAAAATTAGAAAGATAGAGAGAATAGTAAAAAAATAATTCATTTTTTTTAAAAATAATAATATGGTGGATAATAAAATTATAAAAATTTCTAAAAAATTTACAATAATCTGTTATTTTTATTAATTTGTAATAATAAATTGCTGATATCTGTTTGTTTTATTAGTTTTCTATTACTTGAAAATAATTAGTTCTTAAATTTATACATTATCTTAAAATAAAATAAATATATTATTTATTTATTTTTATTTTATTAAAAATCGATCCAACAGGGTAGAGATTAATCTTCCTTATTTTTAGAATTATATATTATATAAAATAAAAAAAATTGAACAATGTAATCCAAACTTTTAAACACATTTTTTTTATTCTCAAATAAAAAAAATAAAAAGTTTAGATAATTACGAATAATTTCGAACATTTAAAATAATTTTTAAAATATTAAAAAATATATGATTCAATCGTAAACACAAATGGCTATTATTTGAATAATAATTATTCATATTCAAATTTTCGAATCAAATAAGTTTTGTAATTCATTAATAAATGAATAATTAGTTTTAAGTACAATAAGGAATTCCACGACTAAAAATATTAATCAGACTTATTTAGACAATTTTTTTGAAAAATATTTTATATACATTTTTTATATATTTATTATGCATGATTAAGGGTTTGGTTACTCCAACCCAACATGGTTCTGAATCATTATCATCCAAATATTAAATGAGTTTTTATAATTATTTATTTTTAAATTCACAGTTTATATTTTATAGAAATCATGAATGATTTTATTATTACTTAAAAATTTTTATTTATTAAAAAAAATTTATTTATCTTCTTTAAAAAGGTTAAATAAACAAGAAAACGAATATATGTGTTTTTCAATGTGTGTTATTGAATTCCCTCTATTATCAGTTAAAATCTTAGGCTCTGAATACAAAGTTTATGTATTATAATTTGGAAATTATATACTTAATAATTTATTTACAATAAACTTAAACTAAGGTGGGATATAAATAATAATAGTCAATTATTATACAAATGGGAGCTCTAAATTCGGATTAGTAAAAATCCTTTATTAGTAGTGATATTTCTAGGAAGGCAGGTGGATTATTAGGGAAAATATTTATTTTATTTAATTTAACATTTTAAATTTATATCACTGTTTTTACAAAAATATATTACACTTTATATATATTTTCAATAATGAGTTTTTGTAACTATTCACAAAATAAAAATAAGGTTTGTTAAAGACAATTTTTAAAAGACAATTTGTAAAAGATATTTTGAATATCATATAATATAAAAACCTTCAAAAAATATAAATATAATATGTCATATTCAACATCTCCCCCTTTTTCTAAGTGAACTCTTCCTCCATTTGTCATAGCTCCATTAATCATTTGTCGATCTGTCTCGAATTAGTTTGTGCCTTGTATCAGCGCTCGTCCAACATCGTTTGTTGATCCGTTGTTTGCACTTGACCTTTCCATTTAGTTCCAGTCATTCGTTTCTTAAGTGCTCCATAAGTCATTTGTTCATATATCTTTGATTGTTTGTTTGACCAACTGATTATCGTTAGTTGAATCGATTATCGAACATCATGAAACATCGTTGGTTGAGCATCATTGTTGAAACGTCGTTGGTTGAACATTGCTGTTGATTTGCTGTTTGTATTGATCATCCCATTTCTCTTTCAAAATTTTATATAAATATTTTTTACAAAATTTTATTTATTTATAACAATCATTTTCTATGTCGTAGGTCATATTCTCGCTTTTGAACTTGACTTTGAATTCACTTGACTTTGAATTTTTTGAATTTTGAACTTGACTTTGAATTCTCGAACTTGAACTTGTTCACTTCTTCCTCCTCTAAAATTTTTTTTTCATTTGTTTGTAGTAAAATTTTATCGTCTAATCATTTTCTTGAATATCATCCTCCCATTAGCTTGTTCATCTCGTTATTTATTATCATTTTTATCAATGTTTGTAAATATATATTATGATCTCAAATAAAATAATTTTGGATTAATTGAAATGGAATAAATATTTTATCAGAATTATTCATAAGAATAAGAATCATGGAATAATAGAATATTTGGAATTTATTATACTTTTTTATTTATTATTAAATTATTTTTATTTTTAAATTTTACTCCTTTATTTTTCAATTTATACACTTTTTTTATATCATAATTTCTCTTCAACTTGTTCTTTATAAAAAAATTTCTCCTTCTCCTTCCATCTACAACATACGATCTCCATTTCGTACTCCTAATCTCTCTTTCAATATTATGATATTTAATCATCTTTGTTTTAATTTTCATTTTCAAAGTTTTTTTAGATTTTTTATTAATTCAAAATTTTTTATTTTATTATTTTCTTCAATTTTTATTTCATTATTGTTTTTAGTAACTATTATTTCTTCAATTGTTATCAAATGATTTATTTCTTCTAATTTATAAGAATTTATTTCTTTTTTAACATTTAATTTACACAATTCAATTTTATTCAAGTTTTTATTATTATGATATTTATAATTATAATTTTCATGCTTTTTATTGTAATATGTACCTTCATAATTTTTACTATCTACTTTTCCATTATCCTCGATTACATTTACAATTTTATTAAGTATGTTCCCAAAAACTTTTATCCACGTCCTTCCCAGAATTGCAATTTTGTCATTTTGGACTATAAAAGCATCTAAGTTTTGAGTTTTGTCTTCATATCTCACTTTTATTTTAACGATTCCTAGCACCTCTATTCTTCCCCCATCATAGCCAGTCAATTTCGTATCCGATTTATTTAAGACTTTGATTCCTATCTTTCTAGCAATATTAATCGGCAATATCGAAAATTGTGACCCGGTGTTGATCTGCATGTCTACCGGTATATCGTTAAGGTATATTGTAACTTTGTAATCATCATTTTCCTTGTCATCATCATCCATTCTATTTACGTCAAATCTGTTCTTGTATGACTGAGGTATGTATCTCGATTCGTTCTGATGTCTATAATATCTATAATTATTTTCATTATATTTGTAATTATCATTATATTTGTAATTTTCATTATTATTATATCTATAGTTATCGTAGTTATAATTATTTTTATTGTTAAATCTTGTAAAATTATTATAAGGTCCTGGCCCATTATACCCCCTATCATTATCATAAACTCTAGGATTATAATTGTTTCTATATCTTGGTTCATAATTATTTGTATGTCTCGAATCTTCATAATTATCGTATCTCGGTTTCCACTTATATCTGTGTACGTGCGACTTCATCCCTTTATCGTGCTCATCATATTTCATCATCCTTAAATTTTTATACTAAATAATCTTCTAATTAATCTATGAATTTTATTTTATCATTATTGTCTTGTTTTAAATATTTCATCATTAAAATTTTATTATATTTTTATTCAATTTTATATTTTAATCATCTCTTACGTGTTTTTAGAATAATATTAAAATCATTTTCCATAATCCTCTTTCGTCTATCTTCACCATGTTTCAGTATATTTTGTAGCGTTTTACTTCTCTGCCACCATGATATTTCTAGGAAGGCAGGTGGATTATTAGGGAAAATATTTATTTTATTTAATTTAACATTTTAAATATATATCACTGTTTTTACAAAAATATATTACACTTTATATACATTTTCATAATGAGTTTTTGTAACTATTCACAAAATAAAAATAAGGTTTGTTAAAGACAATTTTGACAATTTGTAAAAGATATTTTGAATATCATATAATATAAAAACCTTCAAAAAATATAAATATAATATGTCATATTCAACAAGTAGCAATAATTCCTTGATTGAAAATAGTACGGTTGCACAAATATATAAAAATAATTATTACAGGTATAAAAAATTGCTTATAATATAAATTTGAATTGTTTTTGGAATGAAATTTTAATAATTTAGAATTTTAAGGTAGATATAGAATTATTTGTAAGAAAACATAGACGTCTACATCTAAAAAAAAAACTATGCTATTCAAAATAAACTTAAATTATGTCCGGAATCCGGAATTTAGCCCACTAGGAAAAGAGAGGAATCGATATTCGAAGATGTTAGGAAAAAGAGGCCATCAACAAAACAAAAAAGGGGCCTACTATATGAAATTTATATTTTACTTTATCCTGCCCTCATCATTTCTTTTTAGCAGTTAGATATAATATATAATAATACAGTCATAAATTAACATTAATTGATTGTTAAGCTCAATCATTTTGGAAATAGATTTATAAAGCATAATATAAATACATCTCAGTTTTTTATAAAACATTTTTTGAAAGAATGATACTATTTTCAAAAATATTTTATTATTTAAAAATGTGAAAATGTCAAGTCTTCTATATCTTTGATAACCTTCCACTCCCTGAATTCTTAATGAAGTTTTTTTATATATTTTTTATCAGCCAATACCGGCGCACCGGATAGGCTGCCTAATAAATTGGCAGCGAGTCGACGGCACTACATTATAAAAATTTAAATAATAAGTTTAATTTATAATTCAATGGATTATATTTTATTAGTTTGGGCACTCTTAATTCCAACATTATAGTTCTTAAATCTTTTCATGTACTATCCTTATATAAATTTAAGTATTTTTAATTCTCGGAAGTAAACTCAAATTGCCCTTTTATTCCGATGGTAATCACACATCATTCAGTAATAATCAATTTTTATTAAAATAAATATAAATTTGGAATGCAAACTAAATATAAGGTAAGAAATTTAGATAAAAAATTATAAGTGAAAATTATTTAAATTATAATTGTCGCAAATAAATGTTATGGAGATTGATGGGGCAAAAAGAAATTCTTTAGTAAATCAAACAAGTGAAAAAAGATTCGTTTATTGTAATAAGGTATACAAAGTACTTTCATTGCTAAATTAACAAATCTAGGTAGTTCCAAAGTTGCATTTCCAAGAGATTAGTGCATCCCTTCCCAGTATAATGCATTGGCAGAATAAAAAATGACACTTGAATAAATTTATTAAATTTTTTTTATATAAAATAATTTACCTGCGGTTGAATAATTGAAAATATATAATTTAGATCGTGACTATTTTTATAAAATTATAAAAAAAAATTTATTATTGGAATGTATATATTTTAAGAAAGAGGGGAAAGTGGGAATGTATTTGGGGGGGGGGGGTCATTCATTATAGTTTTAAAATGATATTCATGATAATAGGTAAATTCCCAAGGAGAGAAAGTAATATATATTCTCCTATAATTTTATTACTTCTAGAGACTAAGTCCAATTTTTAATAAGTTTAAAATCCCAATATCCTCAATGTAGCTTATTGGAGTGTTAAAGAAATGACCTCTATCTAACAAATATAATATTCTTATTATGTTTTTCCCTATTTAAAATTAGCTCATTTATTTATAAATGCTGAATTCCATGTCAAATTAACAAAAAAATATGATTCGACTTCAAATTATTCTAAAATTTTAACTATAGTTTGTATATATTATCACTAAGAATAAAATAAATAAAACTTTAGCCTCCAACTCCAACCAGCGGCTGAGATATAGACATTTTAATTTTAAAAATACGGTGTTCTTAGATCAAAATATACTCTTTAATTTTAGATATCTTTGGATATTTTTCTTTATAAGACTTAATGATAGGCTTTTAATGTTAAACATTGTTAAAAAATAATAATGTCAGAAACTGGGAATAAAGAAAATAAAATGATCATAATTTAAATTTTTATGATATAATTTTCTATATGGATATAGAATTAGTTAATAAAATTTGTGAAAATTCTTAAGTTGGGCCAAGTTTAGATGTAATCAATAATTGTAATAAGTAAAAAGCTATCAAATATTTTATGTTTATATTTAAAAGAATGGTATTTAAGATCTGAAAAATTATTTATTAGGATAAGGTGAGGGGGGTGCTTTGATTAAATTATACCATCCACGAGGAAGATATTGTAGGATTTTGTGATAAATACTATTTCCTCTAAAATATAACGCGAATATAAAAATAAATGTTTCGAGACTAAAAGAATTATAAGTAATGTTGACTTCCGATAATTGCGAGTATTATCGGCCTTTGCATATGTCCCAGAGGATGATCTTGGAAATGCATTTAAAAACCTGGCCGAAATATTTAGAGAAATCAATGGCTCCTCAGAGTTAATTTCCATTAATAAAATTAAATTTTTTGTTATAACAACTAAATTGCTCTTCTCTATAATATAAAATTGTGGAACAAACATAATTATTCGTTAAAGGCAGTCGCCTGAACAACAAATTATGTTGAAGGCTGGCATTATGAAAATAAATCTCCTTATAGCAATGTTCTCTATTGGAAATTTAGGGAGTCAAACATGTGGCCCTATATCTTCAAGTCATAATTGGAAAACAATAACCATTATAAAGAAACATGTAGATTTAACGAGCTCTTATGTGTTTTAAATTATGGAATTTCAGATTTTTTTAAATAAGAAAGCAAATAACCTACATTTCATTGTAATAATTTTTAAATTAAATTATATTGCAGTAAGTATTTTGGCATATGGCCTCCAAAGTAAGGTAAAAAAAGTAATTAAAGTTAAATATTTTTATCAATTAATTATTCTTAAAAAACTCATATTTTTTATATTTCTATCCATTCGAATAAACAAGTTACATTTTAATAATTTATATAGGCAAAAAACAAGGTTATTTTAATATTTTTTTTATAATTGACTAATTAAAAGTTTACTAAAAGACAAAATTCAAATTAATGGCTTAATATTTTAAATAAAACTATGAAAAGAAGATATTTAATTGTTTTAAATATTGATTTTTTTCTCCAAATACAATAAAAATGGTAAACACATATTATGAATTTCACCTAATAAATTTATTTTAGAATTTATATTTGATTTTTCAATAAAGGTCATGGGTAACAGTGTGTGCGGTAATAAAGTAAACGTTTACCCATTTTGCCACAATACATCGACTCTTGTATCTACCATAAATACAATATTTAAATTATAAAAATAGTAAACAAATTATATTTAAAAATTATTTTAATTTATTCGGCCTTTCTTTCCCGCCTCTATTCCATATTTTATAACCACTTTCTTTCCCTGATTCACATTGGATAAATATTCCTTATTCCATCCTTTATGTAGGCTAAGAATTTTAATCCGTGTTGTTTTTATGTGATTTTCTCTCCCGAAGTACTAATACCTTAATCCTTTTAATCTCTTTAATTATTATTTTTCTATCTGATTTACATCATCTATTTTTATTTGATTTGTTTATTGCTAGGTTCGTTGTAATCGTTAATTTTTCAGTAGATTATAATTTTATCAAAATATTATTCTTTTTTTAACCATTCCACAAATCTATATCGTCAAATTTTTAAACTATTCACAAAAAAGTATGCCATAAAACAATAAAAATTAACGATTGTCAACCATGTTATTGCATCAAACCTAAATAATGATGCATGATTTATTTATTATAGATAAAAATATCCAGATAATAAATTTTATAATAATAATATAAAAACGGTAATAAATTTATACTATCAAGATGAAACAAAAAGGTAAAATTTGAATAAGAACAATCTAAAAATGAATATTAGACTATAACAGGTCTAGTAAGAAATGGGTTTCAAGAAAATTGAGAATAAATACATTGCATTTTAATTTTTTTTTTACAATGAAGTTATATTTATTTAAATAGATATTGATATAATTTTAAAAAGAAATGATAAAACATTAAAATATTAAAACAACTATATAAAAATATGTTAAAATGTATGAAATGACTAAATAAAAATATATATTAAAAGTATCGAAGGCTCTAAAAAGAGCTTAATTTTATAATGAAAATGTACCTAAAAAGCAAGTATAATTGTGTTTAAAAATTTCCAATTGAAATTTTTAAGAAATAAAGATTCGCCGTTTTCATTTGTTATGCTAAAAAATTTTTG